AGGTCGTACCTCAGGTCTCTGTTTTCTGGTCCTCAGGTGTTGGGCAGTCAGGTCATGGCTCAGGTCTTGTTTTCTGGTCCTTAGGTGTTGGGCAGTCAGGTCGTACCTCAGGTCTCTGTTTTCTAGTCCTTAGGTGTTGGGCAGTCAGGTCGTGCCTCAGGTCTGTGTTTTCTGACCCTCAGGTGTTGGGCAGTCTGGTCGTGCCTCAGGTCACGGTTCTCTCGGACGCTCCGGTCACAGATTACCGCTCGGCTCGTCCCCTGGGCCCTGATCCCTGCTTGCGGGCGCTCCACACCTCCACCTTCTCCGAGTCGACCTGCTGCCCCCTGGTGGAGCCTCCCAACCTGCTGACCGGACTCCCCGCCGCAGGTACTGGACCAGGTCTAAACCGGGACTGGACCGGGACTGAACCGGGACTAAACCGGGACTAAACCGGGACTAAACCGGGACTGAACCGGGACTAAACCGGGACTAAACCGGGACTGAACCGGGACTAAACCGGGACTAAACCGGGACTAAACTGGGACTCTGAATTTTACACTCTGTATTTGAGGTTTTGAAAGTATTTGTGGTGAATATTTAAAAGTTTTTTGAGTTTTGAGTTTTAAATTCTTGGAAAATGTGTTTTTAAAACTGAAGCGCCTGAAATTCAGAATAAATAAATTCAAAACAGTTTTTTACAGAGTTAAGAAATTAATAATGATCATCTTACTGCAGTTGTGTGTTTCAGTTGTGTGTTGTGTGTTTCAGTTGTGTGTTGTGTGTTTCAGTTGTGTGTTTGTGTGTTTCAGTTGTGTGTTGTGTGTGTTGTGTGTTTCAGTTGTGTGTTGTTGTGTTTCAGTTGTGTGTTTGTGTGTTTCAGTGTGTGTGTTGTGTGTTTCAGTTGTGTGTTGTTGTGTGTTTCAGTTGTGTGTTGTTGTGTGTTGTTGTGTGTTTCAGTTGTGTTCAGTTGTGTGTGTGTGTTTCAGTTGTGTGTTGTTGTGTGTTTCAGTTGTGTGTTGTTGTGTGTTTCAGTTGTGTGTTGTGTGTTTCAGTTGTGTGTTTGTTGTGTGTTCAGTTGTGTGTTGTGTGTGTTTCAGTTGTGTTTGTGTGTTTCAGTTGTGTGTTGTGTGTTTCAGTTGTGTGTTGTTGTGTGTTTCAGTTGTGTGTTGTTGTGTGTTGTGTGTTTCAGTTGTGTGTTGTGTGTTTCAGTTGTGTGTTGTGTGTTGTGTGTTTCAGTTGTGTGTTGTTGTGTGTTTCAGTTGTGTGTTGTGTGTTTCAGTTGTGTGTTGTTGTGTGTGTGTGTTTGTGTGTTCAGTTGTGTGTTGTTGTGTTGTTGTGTGTTTGTGTGTGTTCAGTTGTGTGTTGTGTGTGTTGTGTGTGTTGTGGTTGTTGTTCAGTTGTGTGTTGTGTGTTTCAGTTGTGTGTTGTTGTGTGTTTCAGTTGTGTGTTGTCAGTTGTGTGTTTCAGTTGTGTGTTGTGTGTTTCAGTTGTGTGTTGTGTGTTTCAGTTGTGTGTTGTGTGTGTTGTGTGTGTTTTCAGTTGTGTGTTGTTGTGTGTTTCAGTTGTGTGTTGTTGTGTGTGTTGTCAGTTGTGTGTTTCAGTTGTGTGTTTGTGTGTTTCAGTTGTGTGTTGTGTGTTTCAGTTGTGTGTTGTGTGTTTCAGTTGTGTGTTGTTGGTGTTTCAGTTGTGTGTTTCAGTTGTGTGTGTTGTGTGTTTCAGTTGTGTGTTGTGTGTTTCAGTTGTGTGTTGTGTGTTTCAGTTGTGTGTTGTTGTGTGTTTCAGTTGTGTGTTGTGTGTTCAGTTGTGTTGTGTTCAGTTGTGTGTTTGTGTTCAGTTGTGTGTTGTGTGTTGTCAGTTGTGTGTGTTTTCAGTTGTGTGTTGTTGTGTGTTCAGTTGTGTGTTTCAGTTGTGTGTTGTTGTGTGTTTCAGTTGTGTGTTGTTGTGTGTTTCAGTGTGTTTCAGTTGTGTGTTTCAGTTGTGTGTTGTGTGTTTCAGTTGTGTGTTGTGTGTTTCAGTTGTGTGTTGTCAGTTGTGTGTGTTTCAGTTGTGTGTTGTTGTGTGTTTCAGTTGTGTGTTTCAGTTTGTGTGTGTTGTGTGTTTCAGTTGTGTGTTGTTGTGTGTTTCAGTTGTGTGTTTCAGTTGTGTGTTGTTCAGTGTGTGTGTTGTGTGTGTGTGTGTTCAGTTGTGTGTTGTGTGTGTTTCAGTTGTGTGTTGTGTGTTGTCAGTTGTGTGTTGTGTGTTGTCAGTGTGTGTTTCAGTGTGTGTGTGTGTTCAGTTGTGTGTTGTGTGTTTCAGTTGTGTGTTTGTGTGTTGTGTGTTCAGTTGTGTGTTCAGTTGTGTGTGTGTTTTGTGTGTTTTCAGTTGTGTGTTGTTGTGTGTTCAGTTGTGTGTTGTGTGTTGTGTTGTGTGTTGTCAGTTGTGTGTTGTTTCAGTTGTGTTGTCAGTTGTGTGTTGTTGTGTGTTTCAGTTGTGTGTTGTTGTGTGTTTCAGTTGTGTGTTGTGTGTTTCAGTGTGTGTTCAGTTGTGTGTTGTGTGTTTCAGTTGTGTGTTGTGTGTTTCAGTTGTGTGTTTCAGTTGTGTGTTGTGTGTGTGTTTCAGTTGTGTGTTGTTGTGTGTGTTGTCAGTTGTGTGTTTCAGTTGTGTGTTGTGTGTTTCAGTTGTGTGTTGTGTGTGTGTGTTTCAGTTGTGTGTTTCAGTTGTGTGTCAGTTGTGTGTTGTTCAGTGTTTTGAGTGTTGTGTTTGTGTGTGTCGGGGCAGTTGTGTGTTGTGTGTTTCAGTTGTGTGTTGTTGTGTGTGTTTCAGTTGTGTGTTGTTGTGTGTTTCAGTTGTGTGTTTCAGTTGTGTGTTTCAGTTGTGGTGTTGTGTGTTTCAGTTGTGTTCAGTTTGTGTTTGTTGTGTGTTGTTGTGTGTTACAGTTGTGTGTTTTCAGTTGTGTGTTGTGTGTGTTGTCAGTTGTGTTGTTGTGTGTTTCAGTTGTGTGTTGTTGTGTGTTTCAGTTGTGTGTTGTTGTGTGTTTCAGTTGTGTGTTGTTGTGTGTTTCAGTTGTGTGTTGTGTGTGTTGTGTGTTTCAGTTGTGTGTTGTGTGTTCAGTTGTTGTGTGTTTCAGTGTGTTTCAGTTGTGTGTTGTTGTGTGTTTCAGTTGTGTGTTTCAGTTGTGTGTTGTCGTGTGTTTCAGTTGTGTGTTGTGTGTTTTCAGTCAGTGTGTGTGTTGTGTTCAGTTGTGTGTTGTTCAGTGTGTTTCAGTTGTGTGTTGTGTGTGTTGTGTGTTCAGTTTGTGTGTTTCAGTTGTGTGTTGTTGTGTGTTTCAGTTGTGTGTTGTTGTGTGTTTCAGTTGTGTGTTTGTTGTGTGTGTTTCAGTTGTGTGTTGTCAGTTGTGTTTCAGTTGTTTCGTGTGTGTTGGTGTGTTCAGTTGTGTTTTGCAGTTGTGTGTTGTTGTGTGTTTCAGTTGTGGTGTTGTCAGTGGTGTTGGTGTGCGTGTGTGTGTTTCAGTTGTGTGTTTCAGTTGTGTGTGTTGTGTGTGTTCAGTTGTGTGTGTTCAGTTGTGTGTTTCAGTTGTGTGTTGTGTGTGTTTTTCAGTTGTGTGTTGTTGTGTTTTTGTTGTGTGTTTCAGTTGTGTGTTGTTGTGTGTTTCAGTGTTGACCTGGTGTGAGCTTCGTGGTGTCGGGGCAGTTGTGTATCAGTGCTTCAGTGACGTTCGCTCTGCAGATTCCACCGTCATGAGCAGCTTCAGACCTGCTGTCGCCCACCTGACACAGCACCTACAGGTGAGCACCGCCCGGGGGAGGGGTCAGGTGTACGGGGGGAGGGGTCAGGTGTACGGGGGGAGGGGTCAGGTGTACGGGGAGGGGTCAGGGTACGGGGGGGAGGGGTCAGGTGTACGGGGGGTCAGGTGTACGGGGACGGGGAGGTACGGGAGGGTCAGGTGTACGGGGGGGGGGGTCAGGTGTACGGGGGGGTCAGGTGAGGGGGTCAGGGTGTACGGGGGAGGGTCAGGTGTATGGGGAGGGGCTGGGAGGGGTCAGGTGTATGGGGGAGGAGTCAGGTGTACGGGGGAGGGGCTGGGAGGTGTGATGTCGTCCGTGTTTAGAACTCTCTACGTCATTTTCAACATATTTTTCAACTTTTTTTCACAACCAGCTTCTCGATTTGTTTAAAACTACAATTTAATTTACAATTTAGTCCTACGCACTTGAAACACACAACACTTGAAACACACAACACTTGAAACACACCACACTTGAAACACACAACACTTGAAACACACAACACTTGAAACACTAAACACACGTCACTTTAAACACGATTGTCCTCAGTGTGTGTCAGTGTGTGTGTCAGTGTGTGCGTCAGTGTGTGTGTCAGTGTGTGTCAGTGTGTGTCAGTGTGTGCGTCAGTGTGTGTGTCAGTGTGTGTGTCAGTGTGTGTGTCAGTGTGTGTGTCAGTGTGTGTGTCAGTGTGTGCGTCAGTGTGTGTGTCAGTGTGTGTCAGTGTGTGCGCGTCAGTGTGCGTGTCAGTGTGTGTGTCAGTGTGTGTCAGTGTGTGTGTCAGTGTGTGCGTCAGTGTGTCGTGTCAGTGTGCGTCAGTGTGTGCGTCAGTGTGTGTGTCAGTGTGTGCGTCAGTGTGTGCGTCAGTGTGTGTCAGTGTGTGTCAGTGTGTCAGTGTGTGTCGTCAGTGTGTGTGTCAGTGTGTGTGTGTGTCAGTGTGTGTGTGTGTGCAGTGTGTGTCAGTGTGTGTCAGTGTGTGTGTGTGTGTGCGTCAGTGTGCGTCAGTGTGCGTCAGTGTGTGCGTCAGTGTGTCGTCAGTGTGTGTGTGTGTGCAGTGTGTGTGTCAGTGTGTGTGTGTCAGTGTGTGTGTGTCAGTGTGCGTCAGTGTGTGTGTGTGTCAGTGTGTGTGTCAGTGCAGTGTGTGTGTCAGTGTCAGTGTGTGCGTCAGTGTGTGCGTCAGTGTGTGTTCAGTGTGTGTGTGTGCAGTGTGGCGTCAGTGTGTGTCAGTGTGTGGTCAGTGTGTGTGTGTCAGTGTGTGTCAGTGTGTGCAGTGTGTGTGTCAGTGTGTGTCAGTGTGTGTGTGTGTCAGTGTGTGTGTGTGTGTCAGTGTGTGTCAGTGTGTGTCAGTGTGTGTGTCAGTGTGTGTGTCAGTGTGTGTGTGTGTGTGTCAGTGTGTGTGTCGTGTCAGTGTGTCAGTGTGTGTCAGTGTGTGTCAGTGTGCAGTCAGTGTGTGCGTCAGTGTGTGTGTCAGTGTGTGTCAGTGTGTGTGTCAGTGTGTGTCAGTGTGTGTCAGTGTGTGTGTGTGTCAGTGTGTGTCAGTGTGTTCAGTGTGTGTGTGTGTCAGTGTGTGTGTCAGTGTGTGTGTCAGTGTGTGTCAGTGTGTGTCAGTGTGTGTCAGTGTGTGAGTCAGTGTGTGTCAGTGTGTGTGTCAGTGTGTTGATGACTTGTGTGTGACTTGTGTTTGTGTCCTGCAGGTCGACCTTTGCCCCGATCAGGACGTCCTCCACAAGTTTGTCTCCCAGGCTCCTGTCCAGAGTAACTTGTACATTTAACCTGAACCTGGACGTGTGACCTGGACGTGTGACCTGGACGTGTGACCTGGACGTGTGACCTGGTGACCTGGACGTGTGACCTGTGTGACGGGGACTTGTGCTTTTTGAATAAAATGATTTCAAACTCTGTTGTGGCGTCTGTTTTTGTGAGTCACTTTCACCTTTTAGTGTAAAATCAAACGGAACAGTGTCGCCGTGACAACAGGAACAAACCGGAACCGTGTGCAGCTCTCGGGTTTGTTTTGTTTTGTTTTTTATTCTCGGGTTTGTTTTGTTTTGTTTTTTATTTGTATTTTCAGACGAGCTGTGAAAAGCTGCACTGTGTCACTTTTCTGGAGGAGGGTCCCTCAGACGCTTTTCTCCATGGAGATGTTTTTGTTTTGTCTGGAATGTTCCACAGTGTGACTTAAAACCTTTCTCCCTCCCTCTCCACGGAGACCAAACCAGACCAAGTTCCAGGTCAGATCTGTGGAGAGGCGACCCCTGGTTTAGTCCTGGTTTAGACCTGGTTTAGACCTGGTTTAGTCCTGGTTTAGTCCTGGTTTAGTCCTGGTTTCCTGGTTTAGTCCTGGTTTAGTCCTGGTTTAGTCCTGGTTTAGTCCTGGTTTAGACCTGGTTCAGTCCTGGTTTAGTCCTGGTTTAGACCTGGTTTAGTCCTGGTTTAGACCTGGTTCAGTCCTGGTTTAGTCCTGGTTTAGTCCTGGTTTTCTTGGTATTTTTGACTCTAAAACCTCCTGTAACTGAACAAATGTAAAGTTGATGTGTTTAAAGTCACACTGTGGAACATTCAGGCAGAGCAGTGACGTCTCCATAGAAACAGGCAGGTGATGTTTCGCTCTGCAGGAGGAGCAGGTGCTTCTTTCAGTCATGGTTTGTGCTCGGGCGCCTCGTGGCGGTGCGTCACGGTACTGCAGCGCGCTCCGTCCTGTTCCGTTTGGCCGCGGGCGTCACGTGTCCCAGTCTCAGGCCTTTTCAGGTCACGGAACTTTTCTGCGTCATAAATCTGACATTTTATATTTTATAACTTATTTTTCTATTTTATTTTGACTTGTACATTTACATTTTTATAATTCTGTTTTATTTCTCACGTGTCTCTTTTTTGCTCCTTATTTTTTAGAATTTATTATCACCGTTTATATTTTTTTCTCTCTGTTCTTATTTAACATTTTTTTATTTTGATGTGTGACTCTGTGTTTGAATCTTTTCTCTGTGGATCAATAAAGTTGGTCAAAGTTTGAGACACGTGACAAAACTTCAGCTCGACCCAAAAGTCACAGACGCGCCGCGGGTTTGGACTTTTACGCACTGAACGCAGCAGAAAAAAACAACTATTATGAGTCTGTTTGTTCTCCAGGACCCGAACCTCCGAACCCACGAACCTCCGAACCTCCGAACCTCCGAACCCACGAACCTCCGAACCCACGAACCTCCGAACCTCCGAACCCACGAACCTCACGAACCTCCGAACCCAACGAACCCCGAACCCACGAAACTCCGAACCTCCGAACCCCGAACCCCGAACCTCCGAACCCACGAAACCCACGAACCTCCGAACCTCCGAACCCCGAACCCCCGAACCTCCGAACCTCCGAACCCACGAACCTCCGAACCTCCGAACCCCGAACCTCCGAACCTCCGAACCCCTGATCCCGAGCGTGGGGCGCGCGCAGACCCAGGCCCCGGGCTCGTGTTTGTTTCCAGGACAAACTCCCGCGGGGCCTGAGCGCGTGCGGAAGTGGCCGGGTGAGTTCTGTGGAAAGGCGGGGCGCGCGCTGACCGCCGGCGAGCCTTTTGTTGTTTTATGCAAAGTTGTGAAGGAGCGAGAGGCGCGTGAGAGGCGTATGCAAATGAGGCACGAGCGGAGCCCAGGAGTCGCGCTCAGGAGCCCAGCGTGTCCACGAGCTGTGCCCGGGAACGCACCTCCACCTGGACTCACCACCGCGGCTCCTGGACTCACCACCGCGGCTCCTGGACTCACCACCGCGGCTCCTGGACTCACCACCGCGGCTCCTGAACTTTCCACCGCGGCTCCTGGACTCACCGCGGCTCAACTTTCCACCGCGCTCCTGAACTTTCCTGCGGCTCCTGGCTCACGCGGCTCCTGGACTTTCCACCGCGGCTCCTGGACTCACCACCGCGGCTCCTGAACTTTCCACCGCGGCTCCTGGACTCACCACCGCGGCTCCTGAACTTTCCACCGCGGCTCCTGGACTCACCGCGGCTCCTGGACTCACCGCGGCTCCTGGACCCTCCACCGCGGCCCCTGAACTTTCCACCGCGGCTCCTGGAGCTGTGCGGGTAAGTGTTTGCGCGTGTGCTGAGTGGGATGCGCGCGGGTGGAGGAGCGTGGCGCGTGGGGGTGGGGGGGCTCGTGGGGGGGGGTGGAGTAAACTCTTTTTTTTTTCTTTCTCTGGTTCCAGACGGAGGCTCCGGGTGGAGATGAGCGCGGCGGAGGTGGAGCAGGCGGAGCGCGCGGCCGAGCCCGGTAAGACACGCGCGTGCACACGTGTGGAGGGGACAGAGTCAGAGACAGACTCGGGTGGGGGACAGACTCAGGGTTGGGGACAGACTCACAGTTCACTGGTTCCTAAACAGTTGAAACGTCACGAGCTGCTCTCAGGTGCAGGACACAGACTCAGGACGGGGACGTCCCTGTGTCCCTGTGTCCCTGGGACAGTCCCCGTCCTGAGTCTGTGTCTCTGTCCCCACAGATTTATACAGAAATGTCCCAGTGTCTCTGTTTTGGACCAGTCGGTCCAGTCGTCTGTCTTGGAGGTGCTTGGTCTCGGTCTTGGAGGTGCTTGGTCTCGGTCTTGGAGGTGCTTGGTCTCGGTCTTGGAGGTGCTTGGTCTCGGTCTTGGAGGTGCTTGGTTGTTTTGTGTAAAGTTCCAGTGGATTAAAGAAGTTTCTCAAACTGTGGGTCAGGGTCTAAAAAAGTCCGTTTCAGTCCAGAACAGTTTGTTTGGTCGATTTTAAGTGTAAACGAACATAAACCAAATGAAGATAAATTTATAAAAACACAAAATACAAAGAAATGTAGGACATGACAAAGATGGTCTCGATTTGGTCTCAGTCCACCGTGGGCTCGGTCTTGTCTCGGTCTTGTCTCGGTCTTGTCTCGGTCTTGTCTCGGTCTTGGTCTTGTCTCGGTCTTGTCCTGGTCTCGGGACCCTGTGGTCTCAGCCTGGTGTTGGTCTCCGTTAGACTAAGAAAAACAATAATAAATAAAAATAACCAATGAAAATCAGACACTGTTTTTGTTGTTCAACAGATTATTTTAGAAAAACAAAGTAATGAAAGTGTCGTGGACAAACATGATGTTCCTCTAGAAGAGACTGTAAACAGTTGGACAACAGGGACATGTTAAAGTTCAGTGTGTCTCTGATCTTCATCACAGGTTCTTCACACTCGTCAGTCTCAGTCAGTGTGTCTGTTTAAAGGGCCACATGTGTCATTGTGTTTGGAGACATGATGGACACAACACTGAACATGGACCAGAGAAAGAGAAGAAGACAACTGTGTCACACAGAGACCAGAAAGAACATGAGAGACGAGCAGGTTCAAGATAAAGACAATAAGACCATCTCCAAGCAGCGTGATGTTCCTGTGATTACACTTCCACATGTTCTTCAGAAGTTTAAGCTCCACAGGACTGAAGACAACCTCCCTGGACGCGACCGCAAGAGGAAAACTGACGACAAACTGAAGAGACGAATCATACGAACGGAACCAAAGACCCAGAACAACCTCCAAACAAATGAAACGTGAAGTTGAAGGACGAGGAACATCAGGTCAGATCACACCGTCCATCAGTGTTTGAGCCAAAGTGACTTCATGTGAGGACACCACTGCTGAGAGAACATCATCAGAAAGTGACACTGGAGTTTGTCACGATGCAGATGGACCAACCACAAAACTTCTGGGAGAATGTTCTTTGGACACACGAGACAAAACTGAAGCTCTTTGGCAAGACACATCAGCTCTATGTTCACAGACGCAAACATGAAGCAGACCAAGAAAAGAACACTGTCTCTGCTGTGAAGCACGGAGGAGGTTTGGTTTGGTTCTGGGGCTGTTCTGCTGCGTCAGGCTCAGGGCGTCTTGAATCTGTGAAAAATACAACAGAATCTCAAAACTATCAAAGTGTTTTGGAACAAAATGTGTCGCCTCGTGTCAGAAAGTTTGATCTCAGTCGTAGGTCACGAGTCTTCAACAGGAAAATGACCCAAAACACACGAAAAAACACACGAGAACGACTAAGAACAAAACACTGGACTGTTCTGGAACGTTCTTCTGTTCTGGAACGTTCTTCTGTTCTGGAGTGTTCTTCTGTTCTGGAGAGTTCTTCTGTTCTGGAGAGTTCTTCTGTTCTGGAGTGTTCTTCTGTTCTGGAACGTTCTTCTGTTCTGGAGAGTTCTTCTGTTCTGGAGTGTTCTTCTGTTCTGGAACGTTCTTCTGTTCTGGAGAGTTCTTCTGTTCTGGAGT